AGAAGATGGCTCTTGAAGAAGGTAAAGTAATACCTGATAAAATTAATCTTCAAAACAGATTAGTGGTTGGAAAAGGGCCCGTTGGATTAAAAAGAGAGAAAGAGAAAAAACCTAAACTTTACCATTTGTTTCAAGTAACTTTATTATTTAAAAAATTTCATAAACATTTTAAAAATATCTTTTTATCAACACCCTTAATATTTTGAATTAAAAGTTGACATACTTGAATATGAAATGATATGACAATTAACATATCAGATGATTTGGATTAAATTAGAGTACCGATATAATATTTGAAATGAATATTAAGACAAAATTGAGTAGATACTTGAAAAGTAAACTCTTTTAAACAATTGACGAAAAAGCCATTGAAGACTTTTACAATAAAATTAAGTATGAAAAGAGAAAAAATGTAGAAAAAAAACTTTCCTATTAATTGAGCTGCATGTATTCCATGTTTAATTTTGTCACATGTCAACTTTTCATCTAAAATATTAGTAGACGTTTGTTTAAAAATATTTATAAAAGATAGAGAGTAGTATAAATTATCGCGAGTATTTTCTAAAGAAAGAAAAAGGTTTATAAAAGTAATATATATCTCTAATGACAACTCCTTAGTCCTTAGTCAATTTCCTATATATATTTCGATCTCTTGCGAAATGAATGGCAAGCTAAAAACTTTGCTATATTTTGCTTCCAAATCATGAGGCAATCAAAACCAAGCATATTCTTCTTTCAACTTCCACTTCTCTTCCTGTTTCTCGCAGCCTTTGGCAATAAGAACATTGCTTACGGTGGCTATTTGTACCACACATGTTCCAGCCCCGACAATTTCACTTCCTACAGCCTCTATGCTTCCAACTTGAAACAAGCCCTCGACAATTTGGCCAACAATGCCCCCCTCTCCGGCTTCGGCCTCAGCTCCACGGGCGGCCGCGACTCGCAAAACCAAGTGAACGGCCTTGCTCTCTGCCGCGGGGACATCGCCCCGGGCGAGTGCAAGGACTGCGTCGCCGCGGCCAGCCGCGAGGTCCAACAGCGCTGCCCGCTGAAGAAAGGGGCAGCCATATGGTACGACACATGCCTGTTGAAGTACTCCAACGCCAAATTCTTTGGGAAGAACCAAAACGGGGGGTTCAGGTTCTACATGTGGAACGTGCAGGAGGCGAGCGATCCGGCGTCGTTTAAGGAGCAGGTGAAGAAGTTGCTGAGTGATTTGTCTGAGAAGGTAAAGGAATCGAGGAATATGTATGCGATTGGGGACGTGGAGATTGAGGGGTCGAAAAAGGTGTATGGGTTGGCGCAGTGCACTAGAGATTTGTGGACGGCTGATTGCAAGAAGTGTCTTGATGATGCCATTGGTGAGCTTCCAAGTTGCTGTGGGAATGGTGCTAAAGTTGGGGGAAGAGTGGTTGGTGGGAGTTGTAACTTTAGATATGAAACTTACCCCTTCTTTACTGTCTAGAAATTAAATAAACTACCTTATCATAATCATAAAGTAATGTAATAAATCTTATGTGTTCGGTGTTTTCATCTTCGACCCATCATTATAAGGAGTGAATCGATACTTCCATAGTTAAGAAGATATAAGAAAATAGTAAATATTTACAAGATGTACTTATAAATATGCGGACTAACCATTCTCAAAGATATTTATTTTTGA